AAAAAAAAAAAAAAAAAATCAAGCCAGGGCTGGAGAGATGCACTGTGTTCTTCAGAGAACCTGGGTTCAGTTCCCAGCACCCACATGGCAGGTCACAACTCCAGTTCCAGGGGATCTGATGCCCTCTTCTGTGGGCACCAGGCACACACATGATGCACAAGCATACAAGCAGGCAAAACAACCAAATAAAAATGAATTGAGCTGGGCGGTGGTGGCGCATGCCTTTAATCCCAGCACTCGGGAGGCAAGAGGCAGGTGGATCTCTGTGAGTTCCAGGCCAGCCTGGTCTACAGAGCGAGAGGCTCAAAGCTATACAGAGGAACCCTGTCTTGAAAAACAAACAAACAAACAAACAAAAAAGAATTAAAATGCTAAAAAAAATAGTCATGCATGGCAGCATGCACAGCTTTAATCCCAGTACTTTGGAGGCAGATGCATGTAGATAAGATTGAGTTCAAGGCCAGACTGGTCCATATAGTGAGGTCTAGGCCAGTTAGGACTACAAAAAGCCATCTACCTCTGTGTGTGTGTGTGTGTGTGTGTGTGTGTGTGTGTGTGTGTGTGTGCTGGCGCGCGCGTGCCCCAGAGGTCCACCATGGCTATAATTTCTCTTGAACTGTCTACTTTGTTTTTTGAGACCAGGTCTCTCACAGAGACCTGGGGCTTGTCAGTCAAGTGAAGCCTGCAGACCAGACAGCCTCAGAGACTTGACTGCCTCTCCCTCCTCAGCACTTGGATTACAAGCTCAGCTTTTGTTGTTTGTTTTTTTGGTAGCCCAGGTTGCCTCAGACTCACTATGTAGCTGAGGCTGGTTTTGAAGTCCTGATCCTCCTGCTTCAGTCTTCCAAGCGCTGGGATTACAGGTAGGCTCAGCAGCTTTTTAATGTAGTTGTCAGGAAGTGAACTCAGGTCCTTGTGCTTACCAGGCAAACACTAACGACTGAACTCTTCCCAGCTCCTCCATTCCCTTTCTTAGCAGCTGAGACACCAGAGGGAAGGCTCCATGCTTCCTGGCAGCCGAGGCTGCAGAGGACAATGCTGCCATGAGACCTCTGCACTGCCGTCCTGTGTCGCGATCCCCACACCCAGAGGGAGCTTGTCTCCTGACAGCTGGGTCTCACACCAGCTCAGTCCATTTGCTGCTGCTCCTGAGGAGTGACAGCAGCTTGAACAAAGCAATTAGGATGAAAAAGAGGCCCAGCTGCTTGGGGCCAGAGGAAAATAAACAGACCGGTCCTGTGTGTACTCCATGGCCAAGAGGAGCAATCCTTCACTGGGTGATTAGCTTTTCCAACCACAGCCTCCTCCATCCCCGGAAGGAAGACAGGGTGGCTTCTATTCCCGGATCCCACTTTGCCCAGGGTGTACAGGTCACCCTTTCCTCATGAAGTCTGCTCTGCCCCCTGCCCCCCAGCCCTCACTGCTTGGACAGAAACTTTCCCCACCCCTCTGGAGTCCGAGGCTTGCGATGTACCCCCCAGGGGTTTTTCTCCCAGTTGCTCTATCGACTCATCCTTTTGTTCTGTCAGCAGACATCCATTAAACACTACTCATTCATCTAACAGATGGTACGCATCCTTGCTGTGTTGTAGACACTGTTCCTGGTACTAGTGATACGTCAGTGAACAACACAAACAAAAGTCTCTGCCCTTGGGCTGGGAGCACAGCCCACTGGTAAGGTGCTTGCCTAGCATGCTGGAAGCCTGGGGCTTGGTCCCTAGCACCATGAGTGGGGAGATCGCTGCTCTCTTGGATTTTGAATTTAACAGGGGAGAAAAAGATAAGAAACAGGTGAAACCATAGTGGAGAGGGTGATGCTAAATGCTGCAGAGGAAAACAGAGGGCTGGAGAGACAGTTCAACAGTGGAGAGGTCCTCTTGGAAAGGACATTTTGGGGTGTGTGTGTGTGTGTGTGTGTGTGTGTGTGTGTGTTAGTCAGTGTTCTATTGCTGTGAAGAGACACATGACCATGGCAACTCTTATAAAAGAAAGCATTTCATTGGAGCTTGCTTACAGTCTCAGAGGTTTAGTCCACTATTGTCGTGACAGGAGCATGGTGGCCCATAGGCAGACATTCTGGAGAAGTAGCTAAAAGTTCTACATCTGGATCCACAGGCAGCAGGAAGAGAGAGAAAGAGAGAGAGCCAATGGGCCTGGCTTAGGCATTTAAAACCTCAAAGCTGACCCCAAGGAACACATTCCCTCCAATAAGGCCACACCCACTCCAACAAGGCCACACCTCCTAATCCTTCTCAAGCAGTGCCACTCCCTGATGACTAAACATTCAAACATATGAGCCTATGGAGGCCATTCTTATTCAAACCACCACAGTGTGTCTGTGTGCACATGTGTGTATGTATGTGTGCATAAGTATGTCTGTGTGAATGTTTGCTTATGTGTGCTTGCCTGCAATGTGTTCATGCACATGCACATGCCTATAAGCCAGGAGACAGTTGTTTTCCCAAGATGCCATCCATCTTCCTTTTTTTTCTCCCTGAGAAAGGGTCCCTCATTGGCCAGGGAGCTCCAGGGACTTCAACATCTCTGCCTCACCAGTGCTGGATTGCAAGCCTATGCCGTCACACCCAGCCTTTTAAGGTGGATGCTGGAGTCAAACTCAAGTCTTTGTGCTTCCAAAGCAACATTTTACCAGCTGAACTGTCTCTGTAATCCCCTCATTATCTTTCTTTGTTGCTGGCTGGAGTTTTAATTTTTTTTTTCAAGACAGGGTCTCTCTGTGTAGCTTAGTGCCTTTCTTGGAACTCACTCTGTAGCTTAGGTTGGCCTCGAACTCACAGAGATCTGCCAGCCTCTGCCTCCCAAGTGCTGGGATTAAAGGTGTGCGCCACCACCACCCGGCTTGGAGTTTTAGTTTTTATTTATTTATTATTTTTTATTTTTAAACATAGGCTCTTGAGATTAAATTCATGTCCTCCCACTGGCAAAGCAAGCACGTTACCAACTGGGCTAACTCCTTAGTTTTGCTTAAAATTCTTTTTTTCCCTTTGTGTTTGTTGGTTTGTTTGTTTGTTTGTTTGTTTATAGGCAATGTCTCTCTATGTAGTTCTGGCTGTCTGGGAACTTGCTATGTAAACCAGTTTGGCCTCCAAATCAGAGATCCACCTGCCTCTGCCTCCCTAGTGCTGGGATCAAAGGCGTGTATACACTGTGCCACCGGGCCTGGCTACTGCTTAAAATTCTCAAATGCTTAAATCAGTCAACTTTGGGAAAACTTTGTGAATGCTGTATGCTCATTACTACACACAAAATACAGCTCTACAAGAAGGTGCCACCCTGGGTGAGACTAGACAAAGTGCAGAGACCCAGGACAGCAGGCCTGTCGGAGCCAAACCCAGAGTTCATTGAGGAAGAGCCCATGAGCTGACAGACCTTAATGTCACAAGAGTCAGTGCTCTGGACGCTAGGGAAAATGTTCAGCACCTGGAATTAGAGCCAATGGAGGACCATGGGTCCTTACAGCATCACTCTGGAACAGGGCCGAAGAGTGGACTGACTTAATTATGAAGGGCTATGCATTTCTATTTCAATGACTTATCATTGTGTGGCCCCAGACATCATTAAGTCCTGTGCTAGCCTGGGGGTGTGCACAAGTCTGTGCCTGCGCACATGCGAAGATGAAAAGATTCTTTTCCAGGACACAACAATTAAAATGATGGTTTTATTGCCCCCAAGACATGAACCAGCATCATCTCTGACCTAGCAAACTTACTTCTGCACATCTTTGCCAATTAAATATACAAATCTCTGTCTCTCAGATGATCTTTCCAACCAGCTTCACATTCTTCTAGTTCCCCCATTAGTGAGCCGAGTAAGTCATTGACTGATGATAAAAGTGTGTGTGTGTGTGAGTGTGTGTGTGTATACACTGCTATACAACCACAAGTGAGGGACTGTAGAAGAAATGAATGTAAAAAGAGTTTGCCTAGAATTCACAGGATACAAATGTCAGGGTTTATTCTTGTGAGTCATAGACTAGACTATCACAAAAGCTAGAAGATTTCACACTCCTGAAGGCAGCTTATTTCAGGGTTAGGACACAGGTCAGGAGAAGAGGTAGCAAGTGACAGCCCGACACCAGGCTCCATGCCCAGGAAGTACCATACTGTGTTCTCTACTTCTGAAGTTGGGGTTTGTATGGCTTGGGTCCTAGAGGATGGAGACGATACAAGACCACTGAAGGAAGTCTGCCGGGCATATGGCCAGGCTGGAGGGCTGAAGCAGGCATCTGTAACAGAAGCTGGGTCTGGGTATCACTTTTTGTTGTTGTTGTTGTTGTTATTGTTTTGAGACAGGGTTTCTCAAAAAACCCTTTTTCTTGCTGTCCTGGAACACACTCTGTAGACCAGACTAGCCTAGAATTCAGAGATCCTCCAGCCTCTGCATCTGGAGTGCTGAGATTAAAGGCAGGCATCACCACCACCTAGCTCTGGATATTGCTTTTAAGACTGGAGTTGTTTAACAACACATTTCAGTGGCAGACCTCTAACTAGTGATTCTTGTAAGACAGTATTTTATTCTGCAGGCAAGGAAGTGCCCAGCTCGGTTAGCAGCATGGGACTTCTGCTTTTATCATCTGCATTCAGGTGGGGCTGCGCATACAACACAGAATGTCACAGAGATCAGTGAGGGATGCAGGCAGCCAGGACGGAAAACAGGAGCTAGATCAGCCAATCCTGCTGAAAGGAGGTGGGAACAGAGATAAGAAGGAGGAAGAGGAAAGGCATTGCAGGCCCAGGGAGTGGTCACAGCAGAGATTAGGAGAGAGATGGAGCCTCTGGCTTATCCAGGAAGGAATGCGCCCAGATCGGCCGGACTAGGCTCCTTACACCGTAAGTAACCCGGTCAGGAGGTTGACAATCTACTGTCCCATAGTGATCACAAAAAAGATAGGTAAAGGAATTACACCTGGGTGCTTCCTTTCCATTCCAGTCCCCAGAGCTACTGTAGGGAATCCTCGCTTCCTCCCACGGGCTTGCTCCAGGCTCAACAGAGTTTTGTTTGCTACAAGTCAGTCCGGCCTCACTCACAGCCTAAATGCCTCCGGCTGTCAAGTCTGGAGCTCACAGAGACCCTGTCTGGTCCAGTCTTGCCCGTTTCCTCTTGGAGGGCTCAGACTCTGGTCTGACTCTGCTTCTCCAGACTGTATCCTCTCTCCTCTATGCCATTTATATATGCGCCTATTTCCTGGACTTTATCTTCCCTTCTCGGTGCTGACTGCTTTAGTATTCTCTTTTTTATCGCAGTGTGGGTTTGCTTTTAACTTTTTTTTAATTAACATGTTGCTTTTACCTTTTTTTTTTTTTTTTTTTTTTTTGCCATCCTGAGACTTCTATTAAGACAGAGTTTCCTAGGCTAGTCTCCAAGTTTTCTGTACCCCGACTGACAACTAGGCCCAGCATTGTGTTGACACTTTGTATCTGCTAATTAGCAGTTTTTGGTTAACAGCACTTAATCCACTTCTCCACAGCTCTAGTGTTGGCTATTTGCCTACAAGCCTAGATCATCCGAATAGTAACCCCACCCCTTTCCCTGAGGCTGTGACCCACCAGCTCTCAGCAGAGCCCAAGTGATTTGAGGACCCCAGCCATCTGCGGTGCGCAGGGCTTCTTGGATATCCACACCACCAGAAAGCAGAGACCTGAGTGTCCCAACTGGGAAAAAGGAGTTTCCAAGAGCTCCCCAATCCAGGTTCATGAATCTGAAGTCATTCCGAGCTCACAACTCTGGCAACGCGGTGGCCACAGGCCCAGTAGTGCCAGGGGGCAGCCGCAGGAGGAAGGTCTGTAAGGAGCCGGGACGAGGAAATCCAGCCTTCTCCCTGAGCAGCCGCCAGGTGCCATCTTCAATGGCATAGACCAACGTGGATACACGGTTGACAGTATAGACGGTGTCCCCACGCACCACGGAGGTGAAGAGTGCTCCCTTGCTGTTGACAAACTGGCCAGGTAGCGATGTCCACTGGCCCGTGACCAGGTTGAGGCAATCGATGGCACAGTGCAGGAAATCATCAGAAGGTCCATTACGCACCACATAGAGACTGTCACGATGGGCCACCATAAAGTGGCCGTAGCTCTGCGAACGACACAGTTCAGCCACGGGCAGCCACTTGTCCATCTGCACTACGTACTCAACAACGGCAGTGATATCTGCCGGCCTCCACAGGCACACGAAGAGGCGGCCACGCGCGTGGGCACAGGGAACCCCTGTAGCTGGCTGCGGCAGGTCCGCCACGAAGCTCCAGCAGTCTGTGGCGGGATCGTAGCACTCCACGGAGCTCATGGGCGTCTTCTGGAATTCGCCACCAATGGCATAGAGGCGGCCTTCAAAGCCGGCCAGCGCCAAATCATAGCGCGGCTGGTGTGGGCTGGGGAATTCGCACCAGGTGCCACCTTCCGGGTCGTAACAGAAGCTCAGCTCCACTACCTCCTTGCTGGCTCCGCACACACCACCCACGATGTACAGCTTGTTGCCCAGAGTGGCCACGCCTGCCAGCAGCGTGCTGGCCTCCAAGGGCAGTGCGGCCAGCGTGCGCCACGCGTCCTCCTCTTCGTCCAGGAAGCACATGGTGCGCGATGCATCCTCCAGGAAGCCGGGCGCGGGCGTGTGAGTGCTCACGGCCACGTAGGTGCTAGGTCGCAGCGCTGCCACGTAGGCACGGGCCTCCGGCAGCTCCAAATCCGCCACCAGCTCGTGCGCGCCGTCACGGATGAAGAGCGCAGCGCTGTGGAGCACGTCGCGCAGGCCGAAGGCGGCGGCCGCGTCGCACAGCAGCGAGCAGTTGTCCGACGTGACGCTGTGCTCCAGGAAACGCGCGAGCGCGGGCGCCTGCAGGAAAGCGGCGCACTCCACTGCCTGCAGCAGCTCGTCGTCTGCGGCCAGCGCCGGCCGCTCTCCGCGCAGCACCCGCAGCGCCGTGCCGAAGCCCGCGGCGCTCAGCGCACCCAGGCGCACCTCGGCCGCGCGCGCCTCCCGCATGCCGGAGCGGAAAAGCCCACGGAAGAAGCCGCAGTGTTCCACCAGCAGCGACTGCTCGGCCTGGAAGAGTTGGCCATCCACCCACACCTGCACCGGGATCTCGGGACCTGGTGGCATGCTGAGCCAGAGGGGCGGAGGCTGCTGCCGCTGGGGGGCCTAGATTTGCCTGGGGCCACTGACTCTGGGGCTACCCTGGGGCGGGGAGGAAAAAAAAACTTCCCTGGGGGATATAAATACTTTCCTGGCTAAAGATAGGATGGCTCATGTGATATGGCCCGCAGGCTTGGATGGCAGCCTGGCCCAGAGGACATCTGGACACCTGTGGTCATTCACTTTTATTAAGAGACTAATGACAAGGGCCAGCAATGGTCCAGCAGGTAAAAGTTCTTTCCTACAAGACTGATTGGCTTAGATTCAACCTGGAACCTACATAAAGCTGGAAGGAGAAAACCCACTTAACAAAGTTGTCCTTTGACCTCTGTATTCACACTGTGGCTTGCATCCCACTTCCACAGAGACTCAGTTATTTTTTTTTTTTTTTTTTTTTAAAGAAACAGTGACAGCCGGGCGGTGGTGGCGCATGCCTTTAATCCCAGCACTCGGGAGGCAGAGCCAGGCGGATCTCTGTGAGTTCGAGGCCAGCCTGGGCTACCAAGTGAGTCCCAGGAAAGGCGCAAAGTTACACAGAGAAACCCTGTCTTGAAAAACCAGAAAAAAAAAAGGAAGAAAGAAACAGTGACAATACTAACCATATAACTGAATTCCCACTGCATACTGGGCTTTGCCAGATGTGCTTATAAAGACATCCTATTTAACTGGCACCATACCAAGCTGTTACCATATACAAAGCATGTACCTCGGCTCTGTTTCCTCATCTTTAAAATGGGTTAAGAGCACTGACTGCTCTTCCAGAGGACCTGGGTTCAATTTCCAGCATCCACATGGCAGCTCACAACTGTCTGTAACTTCAGATCTAGGGGATCAACACCCTCACACAGACATACATGCAGGCGAGACACCAATGCATATAAAATAAACAAGTTTTAAAAAATGGGGTCAATAGAAACACCTATTAACAGTATTGGGACAAATTCCATAAGGTGTTCTGAATGAGGTCTGGTAACTTCATGTGACTTGTCCAAGGTCATTCAGCTGGGGACAGGAGTTCATCAGCTCAAAAGGGCGGGGCAGGCAGGTTGAAGAGAGAGACCAAAGTGGAGCATCAGACCAGGATTCTAAAGTGTGCCTCTGCCCAAGCTTGCGCCTGAGCCCAATCATTACCCTCCACTCACGTTTTGCCTGCACGTATGTAAGTGCATCCCATAAATGCATTGCCATTGGATACCAGAAGGGGACCTCAGATCCCTGGGAACTGGGATTACAGACAATTGAGAGTCACCATGTGAATGTGGGTATACATGCTGGGAATCAAGCGTGTATACCCTTCCAGGTCCTCTGGAAGAGGAGCAAGTGCTTGCTCTTAATGCTGAGCAGTCTCTGGGGCCCGTTCTGAGTCTCTTTAAAAGCCCATTTCCTTTCATGTAAGGGAGCATCCAGTGAACCCCTATAGGCAGAAGCCACCCTTCACTTAGAAGTGGGAAGCTGGTGTTTGGTCTTCACTTGCCTGGCCCCTCTGCGGCTTCTATCACCTTGGGTGAAGAAAAGGAGAGGTGTGGGAGGATGGTATACCTGTGGATGAGAAAGTCTTCCTCATACAACTACTTAAATTGCATTTATTGTATAATTGTGATAAGCACTTTGATTCCAATTCCTTGCAACACCCAGGAGTAGTTACTATGGCCCGATCCCTAATGCCCCTGTTGAACACACAATATCCACTTACTTTTTACAGCAACACTATGAGCTGGATTTCTTTGCTAGACAGGGTCTGATGTATCTTGGGCTGGCTTTCAGACTTGCTGTGCAGTGAGGATGACCCTGAATTTCTGATCCTCCAACTTCCACCTCCCAAGTGCTGAGATTCCAGGCATGTGCCACCATGCCCAGTTTATGTAGTGCCGGGGCGTTGAACCCAGAGCTTTATGCATGCTAGGCAAGGACTCTGCTTCCTGAGTTGTACCCCAGCCTTGAACTAGATGCCCCTAATGGCCCCATTTGGTAGATAAGAAGGCTAAAAGCAGAGGTTTAGCCTGTGAGCAGCAGGTGGCAGATTTGGGGTCAGAATGCAGCCAGTTTGACCCCTGGTGTATGTACCCTAAACCACGCTGCTCTGTTGCCTCCCGTGCTGTAGAAGTGGGAGGCAGTGGGAGGAACTTCAGACTCACTAATTCCCATGAGGACCTGGTACAAAGTGAGAAAGAGCCCTGCCCAGGGTCTTGCAGCTCGGGACAGACAGTCCCAGGCCTCCCGCAGCCCAGTCTGTGGCACGTTTCCAACTGTGCACGGCTTTCCTAGTTGGCCATCTACCACGAGACCCCCCAAATGTCAGATGGAAAGGAGTGTGGTGATTGCCTTCTCCTAGGAAGCTGAGGCCCAGACTTTGATAGGATGGTATATGCCCTTTGGGAGATGTTCAGCTTTGGTCCTCCTTTGGGAGGATAGAACAGCTATCCCTTACTGAAAAGAAAGTAGGAGGAGGGCAGGAGACCTCCCCTCCCCTTTAAGACACAGACATAGAACGTGTAGATGAATCTGCAGCCCAAAGAAAATGTGCCTCCCTTAAGGCACTCCCTAGTTCACCCCATCAAAACAGGCCTGGGGTGTGGGGACCACTTGTGTGAGCCCGGGAAGCCAGAGGCCCTCAGAGATGCTGCCAGAAATATCTCAGATGCTTTGCCCCAGGGACTAGGCAGGAAGAGGGGAAGGAGATGGGGGTGGGGTGGGCAGAAGTCCCATGAGTACTATCTCAGGCCCTCTGCCAGTATCTCTCCTTCCCTGAGACCAGACGTTGGCTGGAAGGGCCTAGACTGTTTCCAGCAGTAGGCATGAAAACCCTTTCTTGGAGACAAGTGAACACTGTAGTGTCAGATCTTTGCCCATATTCCTGGTGATGGGAAGAGAGTATCTGGTCCGGGAGGCTTCCAGATGAAGGGGGGCGTCTTTTCCTCAGCTATGAATGACAGTGTGGGACTTGACAGAACTCTGTCTACTGGCCCTACAGCCTACTCCCCACCTAGCCTGGCTCTGTCTCTCCACCTGCATAGTCCTTGCCTCAGCAGGAGTGGGACTAGCGAAGGCAGGCTGCCAGGAGCCCAGGGCTGCTGCAGAGTTACCCTCAGCTAGCCCGTTCCAGACACCTGGTAGAAGCCAGACAGCCAAACAGAACCATCACAGGCCTCTCTTAAGAGCAGGAGGCAAAAATCACACAGCTCATCCAGACTGAATGAAGTTTAGCCTCCAGCCCATTTTTATCGCAAGTCAAGACCTCTTGAGTGGGCGGGGGCTCATACACACACCCTGTTTCCACCTTCCAGAGCCTGATGATGGAGAGGGGTCCACCTACGGTGGAGATCATGGTTCTGAATCTGAGGGGAGGCTCTGCCCTTTGGTCCCACCCTCAGGGCCCAGCTGGTGTTGTATGCAGCTGGGAGTTTCCTCCGCCCAGATCCTGAGTGGCCCTCTGGGAGATGGAGAGGACAAGGAACTGTCTTGGCTGTGGGCAGCCCACAGAGTTCCCAGGCCCTGCCTGACCCCTGCCCGACCTCTAACAAACCCCCTCTCCACTTTGCACTCCCCACACTGAGGGAGATTGGGGGTGGGGAGGAAAGGCGGGCACCAGGCTCTGAGCCTTGGAGGAGCGCAGACCCAATCCTTAGTCACATCTGCAGCTACACAGATAGCACCCAGTAGGCTCTCTCTCTTTTTATTTAATTAAAAAAGACTTTTAAAAGATTTATTTATTTAATTTTTATGTGTGAGTGTCTTGCCTGCATGTACAGTTGTGCATTCACCACGAGTGCCTGGTGCCTGTGGAGGTCAGAAGAAGGGGTTAGGAATGGTTGTAAGCCACCTAGGTGGGTGTTGGGAACCCACACTGGCCTCTGCAAGAGCAATAGGTGTTCTTAATTGATGAGCCATCTCTCCAGCAGGGTCTATTCAGGGGAATCCTGAGCCCCAACCTTCTGGAATTCCCAGTCAGCTGAGGGAAATCCAGTTTCTGTCCCAGAAGAGCTTTGTCTGATGGAGGAGACATAACCTTTGTCCTTGGAGAAAACACCCCCTCCCCACCCCCTGATTTGATGGTGGAGCCTCTTTTTAGTCATGGTGAAGACAGTTCATAGGACAGGGAGTACCGTGCAGCTCCTGGAATTGGGAGAAGGATGAGCACTAGACTAGGAGTCCGGCTTCTTGGCTGGGATTTGATGCTGTGTGACCATCCATTTGCCAAAGCTACTGAGCCTCTCCAGGCCTCAATTCCACATCTGTGAAGTGGGGTTTGCAGCACACATCACAGGACAACCATAGAAATCATGTTGTGTTGTGACCCTGGAGACGCAGTGACATCACAGAGTTCCCAAAAGCTTAGCTCTCTGTGCGGTTGCCCACGGGTATCTTGGCATCAGGAAAGACAAGTCCTACATTTCTTGCCTGTTCATCCCCTACCTTCTTTATACATCTATTGAGCACTGAGTGTATGCCCATTGCTGGGCCCAGCAACACAACCTCCACATTTTAGGTGTCTGAAGTCCTCTATAACAGCTTGATTGAGGGGAGCAAACAAGGGCAGATGAGCTACTTGACTGAACAGAATACTTCTCTCTCACTTTCTTTTCAAATTTATTTTTTAAAAAGTTTTTTTTTATTTTACATACCAATCCCTGCTGTGGGATAATGCTTTTGTACACTGGTTTAATAAAATGCTGATTGGCCAGTAGCCAGGCAGGAAGTATAGGCAGGATAAGCCAACAAGGAGAATTCTGGGAAGAGGAAGGCTGAGTAAGGAGACTCCAGCCCACTGTCCAGGGAGCAGCATGTAATGGCACACAGGTAAAGCCATGGAACACGTGGTGACATACAGATTAACAGAAATGGCCATAAATGACAGAACTAGTCAGTAGTAAGCCTGAGCTAATGGATGAGCAGTTTTAATTAATAAAAGCCTCTGTGTGTTTACTTGGGTCTGAGCGGCTGCAGACCAGGCAGGACACAGGACAACTTCCAGCTACAAATCCAAGTTTCCCCTCCCTCCCCTTCTCCCAGTCTCCCCATCACCCTCCC